AGGGCCCTAGTTTCAGCCAATAGGAACAGTGTGGCCAAGCAAGCAGCTCCACACACAGGATTCATGGCATGGCTTGTTGTGGATACCAGGCGGCAGGATATTTGACCAGCTCCTCCACCCCTTTCCTGACATTGGGGGATGGGTGGCTGACTCACCTTTATTTTTCACCAGTTTAGGCAAATTGGACTTGCTGAGGTAATGGGGATCTCCCCCACCACACACACACACACACACACACACACACACGTTCTGGTGGGTCCTGTGGGCTAGTGGGAAAGGCTTGTTGAAGTTAGATCTTGGCTGACTCTGCCAATTTACTAGATATGGAACCTTAGTTACTTATCAACTGCATTTCCTGCTTCTGTATAATACAGCTGTTACACAAGAAATATGCAAATAATGGGTTCATAGTAGTGACTGAATAAAGCTATTTGCTGCTGACCTTGGATAAGTCATTTCACTTCATCACTCTTGATCTATAAAATGAGGATTAAATTGGATGATCTATGATCATTCTTTGCTCTAAAATTCTTACTCTAGATGAGAGGAAAAAGGTAACTGCTGCCAGATATAGAACTATGTGCCCTTCCCTTCCTGGCTGAGCCCCATGCTACATATGAGAAAGTGACAGTGTTTCTTACTTCATGAGAACACAGAAAACATATGCACCATCTTATTGGCAAGGGGTCCTCAGAAGTTCTTTTTTTGGGTCCGGTCATGGGGGCTGAACTCTGGGCCTGGGCGCTGCCCCTCAGCTCTTCAGCTCAAGGCTAGCGCTCTACCACTTGAGCCACAGTGCCACTTCCGGTTTTTTGCTTATGTGGTACTGAGGAATCGAACCCAGGGCCTCAGGCATAGCAAGGCAAGCACTCTACCACTGAGCCAACTTCCCAGCCCAGTCCTGAGACTCTTATCTCCAATAAACCACCAGAAAACTGGAGTGGCACTGTGGCTCAAGTGGTAGAGTGTTCACCTTGAGCTGAAGAGCTCAGAGACAGCGCCCAGGCCCAGAGTTCAAGCTCCACGACTGACAAAAGCAAAACCAAACAAACAAAAAAAAAGCTATTTCATGGTTGTCCAAATGAGGAAATAGGCTCCAAGATGGGAGGGATTTATCTAATGTTATACAGGTATGAATGGCCATGATGGGCCTGGGCCCTAGTATTCTTGCTTCTCTGGTCACAGCCACCTCCCCATCTGTTCCCGACAACTTCCCCTCCTTCCACTGCATGGCTCCACTACTCTTACCTGGTCCCCATTCATTTTCTTCAGGCAGAGAACAAAAGGCCTAGAATGAGGAGGGCAGAAATCAAGCCACCTGGCTCCTCTTGGTACTGGGGCTATGTGTGGGTGAGCAGACACCAGCTGAGGCTGGACATTGTGAAAGGGTGGAGGGAATCTGGCAAACGTTGGCAGTGGGATTATTATCTGTATTGCCTTTTAGGGAGGAGCCCTTATTTGGGTACCCAATCTCCAGGGTAGATGTGAGATCAAGTGCTTACTTTTTCCTCTCTTCCTGTAGATCTGTACACAATTCCCAAGATGAGGGTTCACAACCTCCATGGGGGTGGTTTTCTAATAGAATGAAGGAGTGCTGTTTGCCACTCATCCTATCAGATTACCTCAAGAAGTTAAGAGGGCTCAGTCCAACTGTTCCAGCTAAGTCTCTGTCTATAGATTTTAAAAGCTCTTACATTGTCTAACACCACTACTTAATAAGGGAGGTCAAATTCCACCTGACTCCAAGGAAGCTGATCTCTTGAGAGATGAATTATCTGGTTTTGGCTTCAAGTTGCTGGTGACACATACCACTTTCACAATGCTTCTCTTGTCATTTGTGAGCTCCTGGGTTACCCTCCTAGTCTTTTTCCCCCCTTAAAAGTACCAGGGCACAAAGTTCTGCAAGGAAAGGTAAAGAAACGATTGCCCAGACTACAGAGGAAGAAAGAAACCTTGTACTTTCTAGTTATAAAGTTCATTCTGTCCTTTAAACCAGAGCTGTCCTCCTATAGGTTAACTATATTTCCGGAAGAGACTACAGATAGAAAACAGCAAGTTCCCTCCTCCAGCAACGAACATGTCAACCCTAGCAAGCAAGACAATATGCAGCAAATTAGCTCCCTTCCTCAGACCTGTTCTCAACCGAGTCCCTGATCCACTGCCCTATTTTCCTGAGCATTTCCAGGTTCCCAGAAGGAACAGGATGGACCAAAGCAAACCTATCCTACTTGCCCTCTGACCTGGCCAGTCCTGGGATGTCCAAGCCGAAGCCCCTCAAAGAGGGATGTGAGCTGGTGGAAGGCCACTCCATTTGGAGCCTCCCGTTGTCTCCATGTCCTTTTCATCTTCCTGGGGCCCAGAGGCATCTACTACTGAGCAAAGGAAAGGTTAAACCGGTCGGGCAGGGAAGCCGGGGGAAACTTGGTGGCAGGAACAAAGCCGGTGTTTGTTGGGTTTCCCTGCTGCCTGGGAGGCCTTGCCGGACCACGGCATTCTTGGGTTGGACAGAGTCAGCTTACAGTGGCTTCTCCCTGCTGCTATTGCAGCCAAAGCCTCTGCCTTTCTGTAGGCCACATACTTTTTCCTGGACTGTCTCAAACCACAGGGGCATTCAAAATGAATGCAGCTAGGTGAAGTGGCAATTTGTAATCTCAGCACTCAGGAGGCTAAGGCAGAGGATTTCAAGTGAGCCAACCTGAGCTACATAGACTGGCTCAAAAACAAGAAGGTAACCTCTTTGTACAACTACTTAATGCAAAAAAATTTAAGAAACTAGAGGGCTGGGACAGTGGCTCAGTGGTAGTGCTTGCCTTGCACGCATGAGGCTCTGGGTTTGATTCCTCAGCACCACATAAGCAGAAAAAAACTAGAAGTGGCACTGTGGCTCAAGTGGTAGAGTGTTAGTCTTGAGCTGAAGATCTGAGGGACAATGCCCGGGCCCAGAGGTCAGGCTCTACAACCAAAAAAAACCTGGAGAGGGGCTGGGAAGGTGGCTCAGTGGTACAGCACTTGCATGCGTGAGGCCCTGGGTTCGATTCCTCAGCACCACATAAGCAAAAAGAAAAACGCCGGAAGTGGCGCTGTGGCTCAAGTGGTAGAGTGCTAGCCTTGAGGTGAAGAGCTGAAGGACAGCGCCCAGGCCCAGAGTTCAGGCCCCATGACCGGACCTCAAAAAAAAAAAATTAATAAATTTTAAAAACCTGGAGAATGCATTTCAAAAAGCATAACAAAAATCTATTTTTGTCAGGAGCCGGTAGCTCACACCTACAATCCTAGCTACTCAGGAGGCTAAGATCTGAGGATTCCAGTTCAAAGCTAGCCTGGTTAGGAAAGTCCATGAGACTCTTATATCTAATTATCAAAAAAGCTGGAAGTGGAGCTGTGGTTCAAGAAGTAGAGCATTAGCCTTGAGCAAAAGCAGCTCAGAGTCAATGCCCAAGCCCCAGGACCCAGAAAACAAAACAAAACTTTATTCTTAGCTGACTGCCGGGCACTCCTTCCTGTAATCCTAGCTACTCAGGAGGCTGAGATTTGAAGACTGTAGTACCAAATCAACCTGGGCAGGAAAGTCTATGAGACTCTCATTAACAATTAAATACCAAAAAGCTGGAAGTGAAGCTGTGGCTCAAGTGGTAGAGTGCTAGCCTTGAGTGGAAAAGCTAAGGAACTGCACAAAGGCCCTGAGTTCAAGCCCCAGGACTGGCATAGTAAACAAATAAAATTTAAAAATCTGTGTTTCATCGATCACTCTATATAAAGATACCTATATATCATATATAATATATAGCATATATTATAGATATCTATAGATATATGAATATACCTATATAAAGATATATGAAACACACATAAATAGATACATAGACGTGTTTCATATAGAATATGAAGAAGTGGTGTTGTGGCTCAAATAGTAGAGCTCTCCCCTTGAGCTGAAGAGCTCAGGGACAGCACCTAGGCCCAGAGTTCAAGACCCACGACTGACCAAAAAAAAAGTAAATAAAACCCAGCCATCTATTGAAAAAGAATATGAGACAAAATATATAAATGAGTTTAAGTTCAAGAGAAACTAGTTTTGTGTGTGTGTGTGTGGTACAGGGGACTGAACTCAGGTCTTTCACTTGAGCCATGCAGCCCAAAAGGATTTCGTCTTTAAATAAGAGAATGGGTTAAAATCAAGCCTGAAAGCTAGATTTTTTAAAAGAATGGCCAGTAAACAGATCAAAAGGGCCAGGTGCTAGTGGCTCATGCCTGTAACCCTAGCTACTCAGGAGGCTGAGACCTGAGGATCTGAGAATCTAGGTTCAAAGCCAGCCCGGGCAGGAAAGTCCGTGAGACTCTTATCTCCAATAAACCACTAGAAAACTGGAAGTGGCTCTGTGTCTCAAGTGGTAGAGCACTTGAAGAACGTAGGGACAATGCCCAAGCTGAGTTCAAGCTCCACAACTAGAGAAAAACAAACAAACAAAACAACAAAAAATAGATCAAAAGGACACCTGGGGCTCTAGAACAGATGTTCTGCAAACAATCTCCAGCTGTAAAGAATGGGCAAGGAAGGGTTAGGGAATTATGACAGTATGGAATACTCAGACCTGGGGCTGGGAAGGTGGCTCAGTGGTAGAGCATTTGCCTTGCATGCATGAGGCCCTGGGTTCGATTCCTCAGCACCACATAAGCAAAAGAAAAAAGCTGGAAGTGGCATTGTGGCTCAAGTGGTAGAGCGCTAGCCTTGAGCTGAAGAGCTGAGGGACAGCGCCCAGGCCCAGAGTTCAGGCCCCATGACCAGACCCCAAAAAAACCCAAAAAACAAAACAAATACTCAGACCTGGAGAACGATGGCAACGAAAGGCTCAAAAAGGGACAGGTATCTCCAGAGTAGACCCACAGTTCCGTGGGAAGGAGAGACCAGAACTTAGTGCACTTGCCCTGGAGCCAGGGAACTCAGGGCCAGAGTTTCCAAAATACTTTTGTACATTCAGCCGATGAGAAAACAGACAAGTAAGTGTGGCATTTGTTTTTATTAGAAAACCCAATTTGGTAACTATTTCCCTAACTCAAAATAGAGACTTGGTAGCCTCGTAGAGTCCTACAGCTTTCATCTTCCACCCTCTTCTTAGAGGAAAGGGCGGGGATAGAGGCGGTGTCAGGCAGTCACTGAAAGGTCCCTTTCTGGAACCCTGCGAGTTCACATTGCCAGCAATATACCAACAGCACCTTAGTGGGGCCCTCTAGGCCCAAGGTTGTGGCTGAAGGCCTTCCCATTTGTATGGCTTCGCAATGGAACCAAGGAGGCTCTCATAGACTCCCAGGCCTGATCATTCACTCTGGTTGAGAGCAAGGCAGAATCCAGGACAAGGTGGCTGTGGACTAAGAGCTAAAAGATCGCATCTGAGATAACCTTTGAAGTCTGGAAAGCACCTGGTTTCTTGAGAGAGAAAGGGCGTAGGAGCCCCCACTCAGTTCTTCTTGGTTTTGGGAGTGTCATATTTCCTCTTGCTAGAGTACCACAAGAGCAGGGGGATGCCGATGGAGGGCAGGGTCATGACCCCAAAGGCTGCCCAGTCCAGCTGTGGAAGGAAATCAAGAACTTAGAAGTCTGGGTGAAAACACACAAGATGATAAGGAAGGAATAGATCTAATTACAAACGGAGCAGTGTAGACCAAATTTTAAGCAGAACTTTGGTCAAGAAAGTTCTCTTACTACTTCTGACCAATCTACCAACCTTTCTTTCTTTCTCCATTTTTTTTTTTTTT